AGTCTAACCCATCCATGTATGCACTATAATTTGTTTTTAAAAAAATAATCAAAGGGAAGAGTGAATTTGGGTTATTTTCCAAAAATGTATTGTAAGAAAATAAAATTTCGAAAGAGGCATAATCATTGGACGGCTCCTATAAAATTAAACAAATAATAATCATTGGACGGCCCGGATGCATTAGAAGTCCAATCCTTCCCCTATATGAAGAGCCGGTGCTCCCAGGAAATCCAAAGTTCGCCGCGCTCTAGGGTTTGCAGTTCTCTCATCTAATGCCTCCTCCTCACCCTCTCGTTTATTGTCGTTTTATTCGATTAGTGTTATGTATCTTATCTGAAAACAATGGGGATGCGATGAAGAAAATAATTCAGATGAGAAAAACTCATCGATTGCTGTTGCAAAATGAATAGCCTTTATGGTTCGTATTCACTGAGCATCATCATCTCACTATTTCCTTTTTTTATTTTTTTTATTTTTTGCTGTTAAATCTTCTCTAACCACCGAGGGACCTATGGAGGGAGCGCGTAAAAACGGTGCGCTTTCGGCCAAGTTTGCCTTCGAATATTGTTCTGAAATCCGATCGCCGAATCGCATGCTTGTATTTTGGGGTTCGGTTTTATTTTCCGATCGATTTTTTCATACATTGATTACATAAAAATTTGAGTTGAAATTGAAAATTGATGCGAAGGTCCCAGCGGAGGGGCAAGCTACTCAGAAATGAGGCCTCTCTAACATTATCAATTAAACCTTCGCAAAGTCACGCCAAATCGTACGACGCACAGATTTCTCTTTCACTTCTGTGCGTCTTGAACCCTTGGCTACATTTCTTTTTTTAAAAAGAACAAAATTGATGAATGTGCTTTTTTCTTCGGGATGATGTTATTTTTTGACAAGTTTGGTATTTTTAAGGAGGCATTTCAAAACCGAAAAAGAAAAAAGAGAGGCACTTCAGAGCAGCATTTGAACAGACTTTGATACGCTTATATCAAACGAAGAAAGAAAATAACCATCGATGCCCATAATAAAAAGGCAAAAAAATGGGTCTCAAGAAACCCCGCGCGGCTATACTAGTTAAATCTCTAAAGTACAGCCGATTGGCTATACTCTTGGAATATTCGAAAATATTACAGAGTATAGCCGAGCGGCTATACAATTTAAATCTCTAAAGTATAGCCGTTCGGCTATACTACTTAATATTATATTTGAATATATTAAATAGTACAGCCGGTCGGCCAATAGCCGCGCGGCTACTCTTTCTTTCACTCGTGCAAAGACATCCTGCAGATAATGCAGTATAGCCGCGCGGCTATACTGCACTATCTGCTATACTGCTCTATCTGCAGGATGTCTTTACATGAGTGGAAGAAAGAGTTTCCTAATTGACAAAATGGACAAATTAGGCTCAACGAAGAAAAATAAGGGACAATTGCTCATAAATAACTCTGACTCGTAAAGAGAACCGACATGGTTTTATCATTAAGCTACATCATCATCTGTATTACGAAGTTGAAAAAAATAATTTCTACAAGAAAAATGACCTAAATCCCAAGTCCATCTTTTTCTACAAAATCTGCCATCGGCACTGACTGATTCAAGCAGAGTCATTTAGACTGCACCAGGTAGGATGCCCATATATCATCTGCAGGAGGTGGGGGTTCAACCCAGTGTCCCGGTATGCGTCTGCACCAAATTTAACAGAACTATAAGCTGACAAATCATTTATTTAGAATCAAAGCGTATTGGGGATAAACAATGATTAAGACACTAATAATGGCGCTGGTGATGTATGCTGCAGTAGTAGATTCACAACTTAAGTGTGAAGGCCAGGCACTATTTGTAAGCGAACATCTCAACAACTCTCAGAAGTGCACTTGAGTTCATTGTCACAATTATCCTTTCCTCCCCTATTTTTTCTTATTGTCTTTTCCATTTGCAAATTAAGAGGAAATAGAAAAAGAGAAAAAAGTTGCCAAAGGCTAATTAAATGGCGCGTCATGATAAAGTAGCAGGAAATAATTCACACTCACCTTCCTCCAGGTCTTATATAGGCATCCCATGTTCTTCTCACCTGCATCCAGTACAGTCCTCATTATGATCAAAGACCAGAATAAAAGAGATGATAGTGTGCAAATGTGATCAGTTAATTAGACTTTTCTCATGTTGATAAAAATAATCAATGGCCCTTGAATAGGCAATCTACAGAACTAGGGGTATTTTGCACTTCAAGTTACCTCAATAAGGGTGCCCATATCAGTGTTGCTACCATGATAATAGTGATAAAATTCAATAGGTAAGTTTGCCACAGCATCATAAGCTCCGCTATAACCCTCTCCCTGTGAAACTTGTTTCCCAGGTTCCTTGTTAGTGACTGCACTAGAGGGCACTACATTAGTGATTGGAGTTGTCTGGTCTTTACTTTCCCTACTCTCGCCTCTATCACTGCTTTGATCTTTGGAGTCAGGTCTGAAATTCTTGGTTTTCCTAGATTGCTCAACAGTTGCTATGGCATCCTTAGCAGCATCCATGTCAGCTGCCATGATTACTTGTTGCTCCTCTTCCTCCACTGCAGCCCGTACTCTTTCAAGAAATTTATCATCCTCCTCTGGGAAAAAATGACCTGCATAAATATGCAAATAGCCATAAGTTAGACAAACACGGTAGGAAGATGATGACGATAATGCATGCTTGTGTGTAATATATTTGGTTGTATTTGGATATACATACACAAAATTTCACTCTAAATGTAGTGTCGAACAGGCACCCTAAGATGATGGTGCATGATAAAAGAACTTGATTGCCAACCTATCTACTTACACATCACAAGACATACAAGATAGCCATCCAAAAGAAAAGAAAAAACCAAAAAGACAGCAAACCTTGTTTCTTCAATTTTTCAATCCTGATGGAACGCAACTCTTGCAATTTCTCTACAATCAATACCGTCTCAAGCTGAAATATGGAATCAATTGTCAGCGCAACACATTTTCTAATTTTTTTTTAAGAGCAGCTGAGCAACATTACTAATTTATTACAAAACAAGAGCATTTGAGTTGCTTATGATTCTCACCTCAGATTCTAGTCTCTTTCTCTCTTCTTTTGCTTTAAGCTTTGCAATTTTTCCCATGTCCTCCATCTGAAAACCCACATGCCATACCTCCATTACTAATAAACAGAAGCCAAGAATGACTGAAACATATGCAGCTTAAGAGAAACATCTCAATACCTTGCGTTTAGCAATATCCTTGGCAATTTCCCTGGCTCTCCACTCATCAGCTTCTCGATCAGCTTCTTCGAATCTTTCGCGCTCCTGTGCATCACGAAGGCAATAAAAAATGCAAGCAAATTAAACCAATTAAGCACTTTCTGCATCCTAATTGGAAATGAGGAGGGAAAGGGAACAAACCAATCCACCTTTGCACTCATTTCTGCAATGCGCTTCCTCTTTGCTTTTCTCCATCGTTTATTTCTCTTGCACTTACGTATTTTATTCGATAATCGAAGTGCCGCAGATTTTTCCTCCCATGGACACATTTCATGAGTGATCGCTCTAAATGGAGCAAGCTCAACTCGCAGTTTAGCCATTAAAGCATTTGCAGCTTCCACTGAAAGGGACACTTGGGACTCCAAATTGATCCTCCTCTCTTTCAAAAATTCAGAAAACTCACTGACTGAAGCTCCATCATCATCCTCAGCTCGTTTACCATCTTTGATCAACATCACCATCTCAAGCTCTTTCTGCCTACGAATTCATTCAAAAGTTAAAATAAGTTCCAGAAAGCTTATAATCAATTTTTGAATTTAGAATGATCAAACGCTCAAACTCGTACATTGCTTTTGCTAGACGAAGAGTGTCTTGCAAGTTCTTGAGCCGCTCACGAACATTTGAGGTTTCCCAAAAAGTGCTCGTCATTGGAGGGTTGGGCGGCACCATTGGAGGCCACGGAGGTGAGGGTGCCGCAGGTTGGTATGGAATTGGATTCATGGCGACCAAAATTTGCTGAGAAAGAAACCCTAAGAGAGAGAAAAAAGGGACTGATTACCAAAAGAATCCCCAACGAACGAGAGAGAAGGTTTTACCTGTTCGCGCCGCAGGCAAGTACGATCTAAAAAGTCCTTCGTTTTGTGTTTATATATTATATGCAGTGATAAATTAACAACAAGGTCAGGATGGCCGAGTGGTCTAAGGCGCCAGACTCAAGTTCTGGTCTTCGAAAGAGGGCGTGGGTTCAAATCCCACTTCTGACATTGCTACTTCTTTTTTTATCCTTTTCGATTGGGCCAACCTTCAAAGGCTTGAAACGCTTGCCGGTAAAGATATTAAATTTTAGTCCTATTGTCTCTTTTTTTATTTGTTGTTGGAAGTCCTATTGTCTCTTTAAAAGTCAATTTGGGATGCAAATATGAATTTAAATTATGTAAACTGTTGATGAATCATATCCCCAATAGATCTACATTGGGAATAACTTTAAAGCATGAGCCTTCCCCTCTCCGAAAAAGAAGAAAAAAGCTTGAAAGATTTTTCATAGAGCATAACTGGGAATGATACGATGTGATCCGGGTGTGATAAGATTTGTAAGTCATGATGTGCAGTTGATCTATTTAAAAGGATTTGTTGATAATAGCTATCTGGTGTTGTTTTGTTCACTGCTTGGATAATGTGTTGAAGGTTACGCATTACTGCAGCTCCTCCCTTTAACATCATGCAAGGATTGCCTCCTTTCCAATTGTTAGTTAATGGCAATTTAGAACCCTGAATTATGTAACAAAAACTGTTTTTTCTTCAGTCAGAAAGACCAGTTCTCCAACACAACACCATAGAGCATGAAAGCAAAGATGGCTTCTTTAAATTGTAGCCAATAAAATGAACAAAATCAGGCAATGTCAAAATTTTCTTTCTTAATCAATCAGGGCATTTGGGAGAAGGAGAATTCGAACTTAAGATTTATTCCTTGGAGGAAACTGATTGAGAGTAGGCTTCGTATCGTATACACCAGTGGATGAAAAGGAATGCTTATGAAATTACTGAAATTAAAAGGTTACTGAATTCGTTTAGAATTGACAAAAGAACTACAAAACCAATAGACAGAGATCCATCTCCAAATTTTGTATTGGTATCCAACTTGATAATGCACATCAACAAAAATTAAATCAGTATGTTATGGAGGTCTAAACAGAGAAACATATATAAATCAAATACTGTCCAAGGCAGTGCCCAAAAAAATATCAAATAGCAATTGGAAAACCTGCTGAAAAATTTATCTCCATCCTAGATGCCCCAACTTATAAACGGATAAAGGTAATGTGGGGGCAAAATCTTGATGAGCGTCAACAAATCTCAGCCATGGGTATTAACAGCTTCCCAGGCCGAGTTCTTCGGGATTGGAAGATCCATGTCCCAAGCCTTCCGGGCAGCAGACCTTAGAAGCCTAATAGTGGTTACATTGGCATCCCAGAAGGACAAACTCTTGTAAGGCAAATTGTGCTTCTTGCACAGGTCCTTCACAGTAGGAGAAATCTTCCTAAGCTGGGAACGGGGTAGTCGGGGGAACAAATGGTGCTCAAGCTGAAACTGTAGACCACCATAGAACCAGTCCATCCAACTTGAGCAAGAAATATCCACAGTACCAGCTGTCTGCTTCTCAAACCAATCATTCCCAGTTGGTGGTCCAAGATAAGTATCTCCGGTGAAATGGTTCAAAGTGAACTGAATGTGCTGAAGTGCTGTCACTGCAAAGCTCGCAAGCACAAACATCACCCTCTCGCTCCAATTGGGCAGACATGAAACAAGGAGAGGAAACCAAGTCCAGAAAACAAGGATTCCCAATATGTTCAAACCTCTATCTGGGATGCTTCTCTTCGAGAACAATAACAAGAAGGTCTGTATAAACAAGTTAACCCTTCCAACAATCATGATCGGATAATATGTAAAATGCTGGTGGCTGACTAAAAATCTAGCCACAGGGTCAAAGGTTAGCTCTCTTCCATAAAAGACTGATGTTATTGAATGAAAGAATTTTGTGGACACTGCAAAGACTGGCATGTGTTGAAGATCAGGATCATAATCAAGGCTGTTGCAGGCAATATGGTGGGCATTGTGAGTCCATTTCCACCAAGCAATACTGATCCCAGTAAGGCAATTTCCAGCCACAAACTGAGCCATTCTGTTGTAGGTCCGGCTCGACATGACCTGGTAATGGCCAGAGTCATGACCCATATAGGCAGCCTGAACCCAGAGGACCCCCAACAACAAACCACAACCCAAATGGACCAACACACTCTCAGACTTCAACACACCATAGACAACAAGGGAAAGCATTACCACAAGACTTATCACAGAGTAAAGAGCCCCATGCCCTTTGTTTTCAAACAAACCCAATTGGTTAAACTCTGAAGCAAGTTTCCTATAGTCCTTGGACACCTCTGAGATCTGGAAATCTTTTAGATAATAACCAGTAAAGAATTTTCCCAGGTACTGCCATGCGGAGGCAGGATGGTATGCTATGAATCCATCAGTGACATCTTGGCCAGCCATATTGATGAGAACGGCTTCCCCACCTGGGTGATCTTTGGCCCAATCAGAGACATTGTAAACCTTACCCTTGATGGAGATCCACAAGTCCCCAGGCTGCTTGTGCAGCTTCAGCTGCTCAACAGTAATGTACTTCCTCTCACCCTCCATTATGGCTCAACCCTACAAAATGGCAATTCAACAATAAGATTGCCAACAAAAAGATCCACAGATAGATCGGCCAACATAAACAAATCAAACCAAGACAACCCTTTTGGATCTCGGTTTGATATGCACTCGTAAACAAACAATTAGAGCAAAATAGAGCAAAACTTTGCAGTTTAAGGCCAAATAAAGAAGAAAATACAGACAAATGAAGGTGAAAGATTGAACCTTTCTTCTAGATTCAAACGCAAACAAATAGTTGGAACAAAATACTAAAGTTACAAGGCAAATGAAGAAGAAATATAGACAAAAAATAAGGTGAAAGATTGAACCTTTCTTCAATAGTCAGTCAACTCACACGCTCCCAACAAAATATCTTCCTGACTTTCCAATCAATAAGACTAAATTATGAAATGGGTTTAGACCACTTTCCAAATTTCCTCGACTGCCCCAGCTTTTGGTTTTCAGACTTTTCAAAACCGCCCCCAGGATATTTTTGAGCTTCTGCTTCTGCGTTAGAGCGGTAATGTGAGTATATCCAAAGAAACCCACCGAGAGAGAGAGAGAGAGAGAGAGAGCAACGATTTAAAATCGGCCTCGTATACAACGACGCGCTGTTGTTATCATTTGGTGTGCAAGTTGAATTTTCGCCACACCTGGTATCGTTGACCGGTCAACGGCGGTAAAATATCGGGGAAAGTTGAGCGCGTTATACGACCGTCGGGCCGGCTCAGGAAGGATCTGAAGAGATATGTGCGACTTCTTGAGTCGAGAATAACATGTAAAGTGGAACTTATATGCTTTTGCATTTCTCGACTATGCTAAGTTACATAAAAGAATTGTACATTAAGAGAGACTTGAGGACTTGTGCAAGAGGCCCCCTGAGATGAAAATGACATGGATGTGATGGCAGATGTGTTAGGTTTTATTTTTATTTTTTTCAAGAAAAATTTAACGGCGAAGCTTCGCCCTAAGAAATTGATTTAAAGTTTCGTAAATTTAGTGGTAAGTAGCATTTAATTTTATGTCCAATACTAAGGTAACGTACTTGACTCTAGTGGGTCGAGCCTGGTCCCATGATTGGGCCATATTCAACTTGCATGAATTGTTGGCTTGTGAGATAAACACTTGTGTGAATTTGAACCACAAATTCAAGTAAAATTCATCTTATCAAATTTAGACTTCTTTAAAATAAAAAAATTATAAATAGCACTTAGAGAAATGCCAACCACAGAAAAGCTAATTACACATCTTTTTGAAATAAAGCCATGGAGATTCAAGAATCATTGGTAATTTGATATTAGGGTTTGGCATTTTATTGGATATTCAGATTTTAGAAATTTGCTTATCTTTTTGTTTTTGTTTTTCTGTCAAAGAGACATTTTCTTATCTGGCCTTGGATGGAATCACATGCCCCTGTGCTGTTGTTTGTGGGCCATCATTGCTATTTAACTCTTACTACCAAACAGAGTGCTGGGGTAGTGGGGAAGCATCAATATCTAGAAATTTAATTGTTTTTTTTTTTTTTGTTCAAGATTAAATGATTATTCATTATTATTAAAGGTGTTACAAGGGCCAGTAATGGACAACAGCACATGGCAAATGTATTATTGGCCTTGAATTTGTCATGCCTTTTTTTTTACGGTGGTTTTTTATTGAGAGAAGCGATAATGTACTAAAGTTACATACTACACGAATGTTATGACTTAGAACCTAATTTGTGTATGACTCGAACTTAGAACCTTACTTAGATGAACAATTACTCGAAAGTGGATTCTTTGCACTGTATATGCCATTTGTGTCAAGCGAACACCATCATATTAAATAAATAAACAAAAGAGGGGGTTTAAATAAAATATGACAACATAAGACGAATGAACTGTTAAGGCACAACACAACCTCAATGCATGTCGTGAGCTATTTGTCACATAGCCAAAAATATGCATTCAAAGCATGTAGAAATCAGAACCCATTTCTGTGTAAAAGAAACACTGGAAAAAGAGAAGAGGAGAGATTCATATAACATTGGTCTTGTTTTTTTGTAGAAACTGTGGATTGTTACGTGACTGAGAGTTAAAATACATGCCCCAATTAATCATGTAAAGTCAATTTCCTTTTCTCTTTTATTGTGGTAATTTGTGATGATTTGCAGATTGTGATCTGCAACTCATTTTGCACAAAAAAGTGGAGACAAAAATTTTGGTGAAAACTACATGGGACCTAAATGTGCACTCAATATTTTAGAGGACGTGGAAATCCCATTTTAATTTTGTCTAATTAAGTAGTTCTCTACGTTAATCCCCCACCATTTTACACTATTCACAATTAGACATATAAAAGAGAATGAAAAATAAGTAAAATAGCGATTTTTATGCTCTTACTTTGTCCGTTTGCACTCTCTATGTTTTTATGTTTTGATAATCTTTTCGTTTACATAATTTTCAAAGCATAAAAATAAAAAAGAGGAGTTCAAATGGATAAAATGGAAGTGTGAAAATGCTACATAAGATGTCTCAAATATGTGAGGATGTGGTCTAGTATGCCGTGTGCGTTAATCCACAGCCATTGATAATTTGATACAAAGGAATTCAGGGGAGAAACAAAGTGACTTCTCAGCCACGCACTCTTCCACAAAAGCACAGGGTGTTGCCATCAGAATGGGGATAATTTTCTCCTATAAAAAGATCTGTTTATCAAAATACTACAAGCAAGCAGTAACAAGAAAAAATATTGCAGCTACTAGCTAAGCATACATTATTCTAGTGTATAATGGCACCAAAGTTAGCAATTTCCGTAGCATTTCTCATTTCAGTAAGCCTAGCAGTACAATTTGGAGCTGATGCTGCAGGCATTGCCATCTACTGGGGTCAAAATGGGAATGAAGGTACCTTGGAGGAAACTTGTGCCACCGGCAACTTTGAATTTGTGAACCTAGCTTTTCTTCCAACCTTTGGAAATGGCCAGACCCCCATGATCAATCTAGCTGGACACTGTGATCCCTACACTAATGGCTGCACTGGCTTGAGCTCTGACATTAAATCATGCCAAGCAAAAGGGGTCAAGGTCATTCTTTCAATTGGAGGAGGAGCAGGGAGCTACTACCTCACATCTAAAGAGGATGCTAGGCAAGTTGCTACTTACTTATGGAACAATTTCTTGGGGGGAAGCTCTTCATCTCGCCCACTGGGTGACGCTGTTTTGGATGGAATTGATTTCGACATTGAAGGAGGAACAAACCTACATTGGGATGACCTTGCAAGGTACCTCTCTGCATATAGTAAACAAGGTAAGAAAGTTTATTTAACTGCAGCTCCTCAGTGCCCTTTTCCAGATGCTTGGGTTGGGGGTGCCCTCAAGACAGGCCTTTTTGACAATGTTTGGGTCCAATTCTACAACAACCCACCTTGCCAATACTCCTCTGGGGATCTTAGCAACCTTGAAAATGCATGTAAGCAGTGGATTTCAGATATTCCAGCTACCAAGATATTCCTAGGATTGCCAGCTGCCCCTGCAGCTGCTGGAAGTGGCTTCATTCCTGTGGCTGATCTCACTTCTAAAGTGCTTCCAGCAATTAAAGGTTCTCCCAAGTATGGAGGGGTCATGCTGTGGTCCAAGTATTATGATGATCAAACTAAATATAGCTCTTCCATCAAGAGCAGTGTCTAAATTAAATTCTGAATCAGAGACAACTTTAGTTGTCCTTGATGTTTGTGTAATTCTTACATATATCAGTATTATGCATAAATACATATAGAAACATCGTGTGTTCTTGATACTTATTTTCTTCATTTTCTCAACTAAACTATGCAAAAGGCTTATAACTTGAGTGGTTGAGAGCATTTACTTCTACACCCAAAAACCCGGACTTCAATTCCTTCTCCCCATTATAGTTTGTATAAAAAAAACACTAGAGTCCGTATATAGAAGTCCAAATTACAGTCATAGATATGCATTGAAAAAGTTTTCCAAAGTCCAGGAATGTTGAAATCTTACATATGATACCGTGCCACAATAATTATTATTGACTTTTGAAAAAGTATTGCCAGTGCAAAGAGATTCATATGTTTACTAAATCTTGTACATACAGAAAAAAGGGGAGAAGGTCCAAAGAAGAAGGTTAGAGAGAAGATTGCTAGCATTTCTCCAACCAAGAAATAATCAAATGGTTATCCCTATATGTAATTTCTTGGTATTGAGCATAATTCAAAAGGGGAACAAATTTGACATCCGAGCCATTTGAAGCTGTTTTTACCACAAGTTTTTTTTATTAGGATGAACCAAAATTTACAAAGCTGTGCCGAAGCTTTGATACAAAATAGAGCACTGGAAAGCGACATTTTGTCAATCATTTGAGCAGAATCACGAAACCAAGTAACATTGTCCGGTTTGCCCTTCAGTCAGATCAGATGGAAATTTCTCCACTAACAGAGCATGAAAGCGAAAGATGGCCTGCATAAATTGTGGCCTACAATGAATAAAATCTAGTACAATACAAACTTTTCCTTTTTTCTTTTTTTAAAATTAGAGAGATTTACTATTATACTCACCATATGAGTCTAAATTATAAAAAGAAAAATCCTATATAAAATGAATTAAATGATGTAGAGTTTATCTATATTATTAGTGCTAAGAATGGGTATATGACTAAATATCTTTTTAAATTAATGTAGAACATTAAGAAAAGGAAATTGAACTTGGAATCTTTCTTTGGAAGAGAGATTTTAGTGATAATTACTAATTAGCCCTTGGGAAATAGGCAACCTTGCCGTCTGCTGAGGCAATGCCTGCACCACAATTCATAGTACATTTTTCTTTGTTTGCATTATTTTGGAGGGGCCCGGGGTGTCGCATCTGGGGTGGGTGAGATGGTATGCACTCTGAGAGAGCTTGAGGGAGCCGAAAAACTTATATCAAACGGCATGTTATACCATTTTGAAAAATTATAACGCGTGATATGAAGTGATTGGTAGAGAATAACAAACAGTGTTATATCATCACACATTGACTAATTCACTTATCCCAAATTTCTTTTTTGTTGTCCTTTTGCCTCTGTTCATGCTGTTTATGGTTGACTGGAGACTAGAGACTGGAGATATGAATATTCAGTAGGCATATATACTAGTGAAAGTAAAAGAATTGGACAAGAAAACACATAAATAAATTGGGAATGAATTTGCCTTTCATCAAACTAGTATCTGTAATATTACAAAAGGCCTACCAAATCAACAAACACAGAGTTGCATGGAGATACATCTCTATATAATCTGTATTAAAATAAAAAACATAAAACTGCAAATCAACCAAAAGTTAATACCTTTGTATACTGCAAGTTTAGACACAGAAAACATACTGAAATCATAGATTACAGAAGAGAAATGCCAAAGGAAAAAAGATATGAAATCTCAATTGACAAAACCCAGCTGATCGATTAATCATCTTCATCCTAGATCCCCCAAAGTTGTATTGTATAATAAGAGAAAGGCAATGACTGTGGGTGGGGCAGTTAATATATTTGACAAGCCTCAGAAAATCTCAGCCATGGGTATTCAGAGCTTCCCAGACTAAGTTCTTTGGGACAGGATTGGACAGGTCCCTGGCCTGCAGGGCAGCAGTCCTTAGAGTCCTAAGGGTGGACAGATTGGCCTCCCAGAAGGACAAGCTCCTGTAGGGCAAATTGTGCTTTTTGCATAGTTCTTTTACAGTAGGGGAAATCGTCCTCAGCTGGCAACGAGGCAACCTGGGAAACAAATGGTGCTCAAGCTGAAATTGCAGGCCACCAAAGAACCAATCCATCCGAGTTGAGCAAGAAATATCCAAAGTCCCCGC